TATTGAATATCTATTTGACAGGATCACTCAGGCTTATCTGCAGCGGAAGCAATCTCCTTTCAGCATATTAGAGCTGATGGATACTAAGAGATAAAAATAACCCTTTTACATGCAATCATTTTATCTTTAATTATGTATTTTATTAATGATACTTTTTATATGTAAATGTGGTCATATTAACACTACATACATAGTGCAGGTTTATTTAAAGCTGTGCTGCTTTTAATTTGCCTCTTTTCTTGCAAAACATAAAGGCCAAAGTGGCTATTTGAATATCTTTGATGTTCCTTTTCAGCGTGCGTCTTCCTCACGCAGATTCACAATCATCTCTCTGCCTGTCAGCAGGAGCGATAGCACTCTCTTCATTACGCGCTTCATTAATCTCGATGCTAATTGATTCTGCGAAGGCCTTTCAGACCGAGGGCCAAGTCATGCCTTTCCCCATGGTTGTGTGTGTGCGTGTGTGTATGTATGTGCACCTGCTGGTTCCTGGAGAGACAGATCCTGACAGAAAAACCTCTCCTGGCTGTCTGTCTGCTCTCAAGTGTGGCACTGATATGCTTTCAGGGCTACAGGCCTGCCTGGGAGACAAGTGCAACAACAAAAACAGCCACAAACAGACCCAGAGGAGAATTCAAGGGAAATAAAAGCACAAAACATGTGGATGAAAGGCAGTTGGCATGTTGTATGTTTAAACTGGGTGAATAAAATGAAAAGGATGCTGGAGCAGTTAAATGATCCGTGTTCTGTTGCTAGGAGACACCGAGGCTGGATGGTGGAGATAAACGGTGGGATCCACCCCTGGCAGCAAGCAGAATGTGGGTAAGGGGGGGGGCGGGGGGCAGGGTAAGAAAGGGAGAGGAGATCTGTAGGAGGGGTGGGGGTGAGTTGTGTGGCCCCACCCCCCAACACACACACACACACACCATCCTCCCAACCTTTGCCTCTTTTCTTTTTTCTGTGATTTTCTAAAGTTCTAATCACCCAGACTGTCCAATGATCACTTAAAGACATGAGTTAAGTAATTTAAGTCCTTAAAAATTTAGAATAATAAAGAGTATTTTGGATGTAAATTTTTTTTGGTTTCTAAATACACTTTTATCTCCTTGTCACATTATTCTTTCATCAAGCTTGCTCATTTAATTGTGTTACAACATCTGCCTTAAGTTGCTATTTTCAAGAACAGCTTTCATATCTACAGTCATTTTGGTTTGAACCATATGAGCAATAACCCAGGGTGGCATTACAGATGGGGTGCACTAGCACTAGTTACATAAATGTATACTTCACTGTCAGCTCATTCTTAAACAACATTCCTCAACATTTACTCATGCGGAGTCACTGGGATGTCTGCAGCCCCAAAATATGGAGGACTTTTTAGGCGATTTGTATAGAACCACATTCTGTTTGATCCCATTCTATAGCCGATGATCTACATTTCTACATAAAAACAAACTAAAATGAGTTTGATTCTCAGGAAAATTTAGAAAGTTCTATATTTCAATATCCACCTTTGCTTGAAATACCTTTAGTAAATGATTAGTTGCAACCATCGGCCTAATGAAAGCTTTTCCCACTTATTTTTAGCAGCTTGGTGTTTGACGCTGTTCTTGCATATAGAACCTTTTGTATGTCCTTGCACTTTTTCTCCGTGAGATCAAGATCTGGGCTTTGACTAACATTGAGACCATTTTTGGTGGATTGCTGATATCACATTGAAGGGTCACGTTTTGCTTTAGCTTTAAAATCTAAAAATACAAATATTTAACTAATAAATACATTGTAGAGTCAAAGGTAATATTGCAACATATTTATATGCTTATATCTGACTTTGGAAGGCCTAAAAAAGCATTATAAAGAATTTTTGTATTTTTTGTTTTATTACATCATAGAAAATATCATAAAACAATCACTGTTCCACATCCGTGCAAATAGGTACAATGTACAATATATTGTTGAACACAGTGCAGAGGCAGTCTTACTAAAGGCAGAGAAAACTTTACGATAAATTGGATTTCTGCTCAAATGGTATTAGTTTTATTAACATTGCCAAACAACTATGCCTTCTAAAAAGCAAACATCTTCAAAATCCTTTAAATGCCACCCTGGGTTACTGCCCAACTCGTCCAAAGGAAAAATGGCTGCTCCTCATGACAATGCAGTTTAGGCAGTTAGTTAGTACATCAGAGATTACTACTTTACTAGTAACAACTCATTCGAACCTATGAAAAAAAAAGCAATTTTAGACTTTATTTAAGCCCTCAGTTTAGATAGGGGTTAAAATGACACTAAATGACAGCTGCCTCCACAAACTAAACACAGGAAAGAGCTTCATCTCAAAACATGATCTCCATCAATCTGGTCAGCTACAACACAAAAAGACAAACGGAGAAGAAGAGTGCTTCCTCCATCACATGTGAGTTAAGTGGTGCACGTGGTGATTAGCTATGAATGGGGTGCGGTGGTCCGATTGGTGCAGAGAGCTGGGGGTCCGGCGTTCTGCCAGCAGTTCATACAAGGCTGCTGATTGCTATTCATCCACTGATTACAGTAATTTAAGTCTGCAGCAGGCCGAAGGGGGCTGCGTCTGGCAGACAGGCTGCTGAAGCTGAATGTCGTGTGCAGTTTGGTTTGCTTTCAATAAGCAGGGAAAAAGAACACTATACAAGAAGGGAGAGTATTTAAACAGAAGCACTAAAGTTATAGGCTTAAAGATATAGTTCATTTAATAAACACAAAATCTGCTCCTAAATAAATGTGCAACAACAAATCCGTCTGTGTGAGAAAACTACTGAATGATGCAATCATTTGGTTCCTTTTGTCTTCCTGGGTAATGCTTGGACACACTGAGACCTTGAATAATCAAAGTTGATGAAGCAGTTAGTCACAAATGTTCTTTTTCCAGAAGCGCTTCTGATGATTAATCAGCGACCTGAGCAGCTCTGGCCGCTCCACCCGCAAACACATTACAAGGTTAATCTCTCTATTGATTAGAGCAGCAGAATAAACCAATACTTCACTTATAATCCTCTCCATTTCCACACATGCATGTTATTTTCTGCTTTCTGTGAAGCACAAATGTGAATCTCTGGTTGATGGATGATGCCTATGCTGATACTATCTTCCCACTCTTCCCATTCACTCATATTGAAAAAATAAATCATGTTTAGCATTGCATTAATCTCACATTTATTGCCAAAGATTAAACAGTTTTCCAAAGTTTTTCTTTCTACAGAAAATTATTTTCACAGACAGATTAAAAACAATATAAAGGGCATAAATATACATTCAGACGTCTGCTGGCTGACGTCGCAGATTTACTCCGTAAATCAACAGGAAACAAGAAGTCCATTCGGTTTTGTGGTAGTAATACTGTTTCAGAGCTTCGTCTCAACACACAAACAAAAACATTCATGTATATACAAACACAAAAAAGGTCTGTCCTGGACTGTAAAGAGGTGACACCACTTTGTGGCGTGTTCATGCTTTGTTTTAAGCTTCAGAGGTGACCCAGTTCTCCTTAGCTCCTGCAGAAGGTTTGCTTTGTGCCGAGGCACTGAACTGTACCCAGGAGAACCCAGAAAGCAGCCTGGTGGACATGTGTAGTGAAGCTCATCACACACACACACACACACACAGACTGCTGTGGTGGGGGCAGAATTTATCTCACGCATTTATTACCTCTTGCTTCATCACAGAAATGTGATTCCTCCATGCGTTTCTGATGCTGCCATTATGCTCCATTATGGGGAGGTGACAGAGATGGAGCAGAGGGCGTTGATGGATTTTGGCGCAGGGGCCTGCTGTCATTACGTTTGTTGAGTGCAGCCTGAGAGACACACCCCGCCACAAAATGGCCGCGGCGCCACAACATGGCTGTACGGAGCAAAAAACAATTACCTTTTTACGAGCGGCAACAAAAAAAAGGTGAAACATTCTTCTGCTGCTTGTGTGTGTTTGGAACAGCTTCAAAAAGCAATGTCCTGTTTGAGTTGTGATGTCCCATCACGGCACAGTGTGCATATGTACATAAGAGAAGCAAACCTACAGCTGTACATGGATCCATTGGAAAGGGTCTATGAGGACTAAAACAGAGCAAATGTTTTAAAATTATATAAATAAAAGTCATAATAATTAGAACAGTGTTGTTTCATCGGCATCCTTGTGTTTAAAAATTACAAATGAAGACCAGCTTCACGGTGTGTCCTTATCAACTCCCTTTAGAGATGTCGCTGAAGATGCAACACCAAATCCATCATTGTGGCAAAAATCCTCCTCAGGTCCGAAGTTTAGCCAGTTTCATGGATAGAAGGTGTCAGTGCAGTGCTTCTTAATTAACAGCAGATAAATACAAGTGAATGATGAGGCTTATTAACAAATTGATCTGAATGGTTCCTAAGAGCTTTTACTTATCTTCCTCTCATCCTCCATTATCATTTCTGTCTCCTAATTTATGTGTGGAAAAAAAAGAACACAGGGGTTTTCTGTGTCTAAATAATAGATTGCAAGGTGACATGGTATCAAAGTAGAGGCAAACACTTTGAATTGAACAGAAAAGAGAGGGACAATGTGTCAAAGTTCCTTTAGTTTTAAGTTCAAATACATGCAGTTGACTGATGAATTAATAAATAGAAAAAATGACTTTTTTATGTTTCGAAAAATATCTTAACTAGTTGTACAAACTTTCCTGCACTAGCTGGGTCAATGTTTGCTCAGAATGTAAGCAGAAAACCCCTATATCTTTGGATTCCCTTCAGGGTAAATCCACAACATTGTGTATTCGGAGCAGAAGCTGGCATGAGGTGAGGTGAGGGGGGCTCAGGATAGCCAGAGGTGCTCTGCATCCCCATCTGTTCGCTTGTAGCTGGAGACGATTGCCTTAGAGAAAATACGTCAAAGCCAACTGTCCAGCCGCTCCCTCCATCTCCTCGCTGTTCTGCTTTGCTTTATGTTCAGCAGGTTCTCAGCTGGAAGTAATGAGTCACGTTAGCAGCCTTTTGCTTGCAGCAGTGCAGAAACACAGGAAATGAACATCCGAAGAGAGAATGAAGGACGAGAGGATGGAGAGAAACCGGATGAGGAGTAGAAAAAAACAAAAAGAGATGGAAAGAAGAAGCAGAGAATGGAAATTCTCAACTCTGCTCCAGGCAGATAAATGCTTCTGTCTGCTCCATCTGTCCTTCTTCCTGCTTGTTGCTCCGAAGGACCCCAGGAGCTATGAGGAGGTTTGAAGAAGAAATCTTCATCTCTCCTCTGAAATATGTTCCTCTGTCTGTCTGTCAGTCATCCAACAGGCCACTACCCTCTGCCTCCGTTTGGCTTAATTTTGATGATCCATTCTCCTCCAGGATTACTGTTGTAAAGATCTAGGAGATGTGTCTCTGTGTCCAAACAGTGCTCTCCTGTAGAAACACAGAAATTTGCTTAATTACAAATTTTTGGTTGAATTTACAAATTTCTCAATTAATAATAAAAAAAAAAACGTTAAATATTCATGTAGTCTGTATTGTTAAAAAAAAACAACAACCTTAAAGCCTTTTTTTTATTATTAGTATTATTGCTTTCATATGAGTCCAAACAATAAAATTCCATGTTGAAACTTTAGTGATGCAGTAAACTGAAAACCAACGTTTGTCTGCATAGTTCACACCTCTTTGCGTGCAGAAACATGTCTGTAATTAGCATTTATCTGCTCTGGTAACTGCAGATGCGCAGCTAATGTCCCTATATCTTCTGAACAATTCACCTTGTTACTCTCATCAGCTCAGTGAGCAGAAAGGCATGCAAATATCAGCACTGCTTCAATCTGAGAGAAAGACTCACCGATGTTCCCCCCCACTTCATACAGGGCGCAGTCTGGGTATCCCACCGAGCCATTTCTGTCAACATAAAAAAATATCTTTTATTTCATTGGAAATAAACCCTTTATAAGGAATAAAAGTTCCATTCAAACAGAAAAACAACAATCAGACATGATAGCAAACATGCAAATGATTTATCACCAGATGCAAATATCATCCAAATCCTTTTTTAAAGATCTAAACCTTAACAGTATTTCTCACACCTTCTCATTTTGCCTTTTCCATTTTCCGGGCTGCGGAGGAACTGCCGGTAAAACTGGGAAAGCAGGTCAGAGGTTCTGGAGTTGATGCCGAGTTGAAACTCCATCGTGCTGTTAACCAGATCCCCCACCTGTATTTTTATAGTACGACGTGGCTGCAAGAAAATAAAAACATGTTTAAACATCTCCTTATTTCCCCTGGATATAAAACTCTCACACATTAAGGGGTTCTTGTGCTTAGAGAATGATTTAAAACTAAGATTTGTGCAGTTAAATAAGCTGACCTCTGAGTTTTTCTCTGGTTTTTCCCTGCTGTCTGGCTGGATCTTTCTCAGCAAGTTCTTGAAGCGTCGATCGTAGAACTGGTAGCGGCGGTTGCTGTTCTCATTGAGTCTACGCACTTGGCTTATAAGGAAGTTAGGGACCTGAGTAGTAGGGAGTTATGACAAAAAAAGTTTTGATCAACATCTGTACAAATGAACAATGCTGACAACATTGTGAAAGGTTATACATTTCTCTGAGTTCCATAAGGTTTAATTCCAGGACCTACTTTTTTTTCTATTTTTATTCTAAGGTGATATCATTTTCTATGGATTCAGATTAAGATTCAGATTCCAAAAACTTTATTGGTAGAAAAGGGCAGCAGGGATGCTGCTTCCTTCACATTTCTGTGGTCAGACTGCATGTATTACTGCTCATTGCATTTTCAAACAAATGTAATATCAAGTAACTGCCTGTTATAAGAAAAATGTCAGAACAGGGGGAAAAAAAAAATCTGTGAATTGTTTCTCAGGAAACTAAACTTACTTTCATGTCTTTACAACAAACAGATTAGTGAGAAATCTGAAGTATGTTGAGAAATCTTCTTACATTCTGGACAATTTTCTGTTGTAGATTAAAACAAGACAGCCATGGCTGATGTATATAATCGTTCCTACCGTCCAAAGGAGGTCCTGGTAACGAATGAGAAGCCTCATCACATCAGCTGCCTTCTCTGCCTGTCCTTTCTCCCCCCCATCAGTCAGTCGGCTTGGGACAGCCTTATGGAGGAAGAGGTTGGGAGCCATGATGGTGGCTACGGCCCACAGGTTCATCCTGTTCTTTTTCTCTCTGTTAACCACTTTATTGAGGAACTCTAGCAGGGCCTGACAGAAATGCAAATGATGCCATTAGATGCAGCAGCGATAACATTGCAATGAGCTTTCAAGAAGAATTAATTTAATATATCAACTGCTGAAGAACAGGTTTGTTTGGCAGAAGTTATTTCCAACTGCTTGCTATGAAGGTAAAGTGATTAGTGTCAGTGCTCTACTTTTTGCTATAAGTTAAACTGACTGCACAGCTGGACGGACGAAAGCTGCTCACGACAGATGCAGCAAGATATACAAGATAGCAGCGATTTAAAATCAGAAATGCAAAGGTAAGTTTAGGAGATTTTAAAACATATTTCAACAAATATTTGACTAGTATATTTTAACACAGATTTAATGAAAAAACTTCTTTACTTTGAGATAATGTTTTGAACACTATTCCGTTTTTGTAACATTGTAGCGTTCTTCTTCTCCCAAATCATACCTGCATTACACTAAAATTATAGTTTATATTCAAAATGGCAACTGTCTATACTTCTCAACACCCATTGAATTGTTTGTGTATATTATTGTTATAGCTTCAATCTAATATAGCAAAGGAAGAATATTAGGTATTTAGTGTCACATTCAAAAACACTTTAAAGTCTCCCGTACAAACAATTGTTTAGTGAAAATAAAACTAAGTCCGTAAGAGCTGAGATGTGTCTACCTTTAGTGTGCTCCTGTTTGGCTCAGGGAGCAGCAGAACAAGCAGGTTCAACATGTGCAGTTTCTGCCTCAGCTCTGTGATATCTAGAGAAGAAAAAAAACAAAATAAGAAACTAAGAAAAAAAAGGGTAGACACTCATGCAGACATAGAGACACTGCTCATTTCCTCAGTGTTTGACTAAGAATAATGGGGTGTCCAGAGATTAATGGCGTTGTGTCTGGTGGCCATTAGGATTGTTAGCTTATGTCTCTGTGGTCACAAATCATTTATCATCTGCACTGATCCTCCTTTCAAACCACACCTCAGCTGCTATCAGTCAGATGAGATTATGTTAATCTGTTTTTTTAATAAAGTCAATCTAATGTGAAAACTACATCCTTGAAGATGCTGTGTATTTTCTTATTTGTGCAATTGCTGGATGTATTTTAAAGATCTTAGATTATTCATCTTAGGACTGATTTCTAAGCTGAAAAAGAAAAGATAAGGACCTGCCATCTCCAAAAAGCTGATTATGTAAACCTGGACCAGAAGTCAGGAAATGTGGCCATCAGATTACTGTGTGGATCAGTAATGGAAAAATTGCTGCATATTATTTTGTATTATACAGTAACCTCTGAGATGCGATAAAATACGATATCAAATGTTTTTTCTGGCCTTGGTCACAATCTGAAAGCGAAAATAACATGAAATATGCAATTATGTAATGGAACCAGTAAGATCTGCTGATTAAAGTCCACTGACCTCTGACGGCGCTAAAGGTGTTGAGGTATTCTGCAGTAAGCAGCGGATCTGGCAGCTCTCGGATGAACTTCTTCAAGAGCGCAGCAGCATCATTTGGACTCACTTCCTCCCAGCTAAAATGCCCTGAGTAGAAGTTGGCCTCCAAGCTCTGCTGCAGCAGCTGCAGACGGTGAATAAGGTTAATACCATGACAACCAAACAACAGTTTGACCAATATCTTCTTTTAGGGACTATAACATTAAATGTGTTTAGGGGTTCCTTGATAGAGATCCACATTTTAAATCCAACAACCAACTGATTTAATTGATGTTTTTAAATACATCTTATGTTGATCTCATTTTAATTACCTCGCAAAAAGGATATACTTTGTTGTTTGATGTATTTAAAGGTTGAAAAATTGTAGAAGGGAGGAAACAACATATTGATTTTATTTAACCTGCTGAACTCTCAATATTACTGATTGAAAGAAAATGATCTGATTAGACTGTTAAATGATGATGCCCTATTTTAACTGCATCTTTACAATACAATTACCTGCATTAATATGCCTATTAATTTACATGAAAACAATTTTTTTCTATAAGAAAAATTTTATTGAATTACACAGAAAAAAGCCTTCTGTTTTTAAAATACTTATAGAAAGGGCAAAAAAATGAAGGACATTGAAAATCTTTATAAGGTAGTATCCATTGTTAACGCTGCTCTTTATTGGTAGTAATCTTTTTGAGGGAAAAGAGTCATCTTGGAACACGAACAATGTCAAATGTTGGGAAATAGTATTTATAAAAAAAA